CCTACTGGAAGCTCGCCTCTCCTCTCGGATAACGAAAAGTTTTCCAAGGTAAACAGGAGTCTCGAAATCCCACCGCGCGTCGTCTCTTTTTGCGTCACGCCCAAGCTAAACACGGTTACAGAAACATGACGCTTTCACGCGCAAATGTAGGTAGAGTCGCCTGAGATTGTACCCAAGTAAAAGTAACGTACAAAGTAGTGGTCCAAGAAATGATTCAAGGAAGAGTACAAAAGTATTTGGGAAAACTACTACTCAACGTAAGAGTAACTTAAAGAGCAACTGTCATCTCATTCATAATTAGTTAATGTTTCTGGAGGGACAAAACCTTAAATAATGCACAAAATATGGACTTTCATATTTAAAATGGTATGTAACAGACAAAAAAATGGGAAAAATTAAGTCATATCTGAAGGAGCGATGCAAAGTAAGAGTAACTTGAAGAGCGACTGTCATCCGATTTATAATTAGTTAAAGTTTTTGGACTGACAAAACCTTAAGTAGTGCACAAAATTTGGAATTTCATGTATAATTGTATGTAACAGACAAAAAAATGGGAAAAATTAAGTCAAATCTGAAGGAGTGGTGCAAGAAACACAAATGTTCAAATCATTTCTTTTTGGTACTTGTAAACTTACCCACAATGGGAAGAGAAACCACAACTTTTACTCAAGTAAGAGTACTGCTGTAGCCAGAAAAGTACTCTAAAAGTAATGTAACTTGAGTACTGCCCACCTCTGTTTACGAACACTCTGGCATCTTCCTTCTCATATCTGTTTTAATTTGCGGCGAAGGGTTATTTTCAAAGTGTTTATTTTGTCACAGCTTAAATTTACGTCGTTCAATAGCCGTTTATGTATTCCGGATTGCGGTTAAGATGCTCCTCAGTGGTTTAAATGTTCGTAAAAAAAAAAACACGCTGGGGAAAGTTAAAGTAGGACATAGGCGTTGTGAAGAGCCTGTCATTATTCCGCGAAGCCATTGACAAGGGTATACATCATCTCACCACAGCAGCCAAATCTTTAATTTCGTGTAACCCAAGGATTGTGAGCATCTCAAAGCGACATCGGCAACTCTTGACGTCGCGAGCGTTCCACAAAAACACAAAAGGGAGATTGGCTCCTGCCCTGGGCGTAATGTAAGCAGGGAAACAATATGATCAACAATACACCCACCCATCCCCTCTCAAGACTCTAAACTGTAAGCTCCCGTGGTTTCAATAGGGACAGGGCCTCCTCTGTGCAATTTGGAGCACAAGACCTAGAAACTTAAACGTTGTACTTCGATGGTTAACTTATTGCAGCTGATGTCGTGCTAACTGTAGGCACTGCTCTGTCAGAAGTTCTGTTAGACTTTAATCTGATCTTTGCTTTAACACAAATCGTGAAATTGTGTTTACTTTTTCTTTCGGACAATCTAGTCACCTTTCTGACAGTGTTTGCGAATGTGTGCCTTGTCGTAACTGCTGAACATTCCACCATAGAGCTCCATGCATAACGCCCCCAGCACGATGTCACTGCAAAGTATCAGTTCTGTCACTTGTTTGTCTCTATGGAGATTAATGGTTTGCGTACAATGTTCCACAGTATGGAACAATATATCGTGATATTGTATCGTCAAAAGTCTTAAAACTATCGAATTACAAGTTCCTTTGCTTAAATTCATGGTTTTACAGTAGCAACAGCTTATGAACATTGGAAACTACATATCCCATGATTCATTTCAGCGTAGACAACATGAAGAAATATGTTTTTTACTTGAATTCTTGGGATTATGACGAAAATAATTCACACCAAGATCTTATCAAGGTATTTTAAAAGCAAAAAAGTGTCCTATCTACAATTATATCAGCCTCTCCAAAATATCGCAATAAATATCGTACCGTGAGATGCATATCGTGATAATATCGTACCGAGAGATTTGGATATTGTTACATCCCTAGTATTTGTATCTCTGAGCCAAGGTAACATCAGTAATCCGCAGAGGCAAGCTTGTTTACAAAGGGTTTTTCGAGATATTGTGGATAACTGAAAGAGTTTAATGCCATACTGCGGAACATTACAAGCAAAACAATGACATTCCTATGAGCAGGTGATGAATCCCCCATCAGAAAAGTGACGTAGTTCCCCTTTAAGATACAAATGATAGAGATATTAGGGGCTATGTTTCGTTAATCTCAGCCGGACTTTTCTGAGTTTGCGTCTTCTCCATGTGTCTCGATGACTTTCCTCTAGATGCAACCAAACACGTTTAAGATTTGAGTACGAGTCCCCGGTTGCCTCAGCGCATTTACTCACCGCTCCTGACAGCTCAAAGACACAGGACAAATGTCTCTACGGGGACAATAAAGTCCACCTTACCTCGATACCAATTCTTTTACATCAAATGAGAAAATCTACCTTGTGTTCGGGGCAGGAGCAGATGCGCAAACACATTTTAGTCCCTCTCGGAGATTGCAAAACCCGTATTCTGGGAAGCACCTTGATTGAATTTGCGGTTCGAGCCAGGAGGAGGACCTAGCGTAGCCTTGCCCACCCCAGCTGCATTCACGGGGGGCAGATTTCTTGTTTACGAGCCTGTCCGCGACGGTTATTTATGTCCCCTCACCTGTGCCAGGCCATTATCCCGATTGGCATCCAAAGCACCGCTAGGGGAGCCTCTTAAAATTTGGTCGAAATCTTCTCTCTGACATTGGAGAAGACTGAAGGTAATAAATGTCAAGGTGGTGGGACTGCGCAACACCTGAAAAACTATATAAAGGCAGAGAGATGAAGATACAGTATGAAAAACAGACTTTTCTTTGGATCACATTGTTCTCTTCTATGAAATATCTAAGAGGTAAATTCACAAATGTTGAACTTGATTGTTTCTTTTAGTGACTAGACCCTAGAACTGTCATCTACAACTCAGCAATTATTCACCGTGATGAGTTTGTAAGCACTTTACGCACATTTCAGAGACCAGAGTGGAGTTGTGCCATCATGGTAACGCTAAAATAGGGTGACCAGATGTTCCTGTTTACCCAGGACAGTCTCAGTTTTGAGCCCCATGTCCCTTGTCCCAGCGGATTCATCCAAAACCATTACTTTGTCAGAGTTTTATACAAAAAACATTGCTTTTTTTGGACAAATTTGATACCTGACAACAGTAAATAGAGGCATATATTGTTGTTTGTTTTGAGAAAATACAGAAAAGCTGCTTAAAAATCACAAAAACACAAAGAAAATGTGACTATACTGACTCCAAACCGGCAATGTCCCAGTTTTTGTTTTTGAAAATCCGCTCATCCTACTCTAACAACAACTAGAATGCTAACCCACACCTCCTGATGCAGACAGTACGTAGCTGACTCACTTTGACCTCAAGAACTGCTTGTATAATATATCTGTAGTGGAAAGATTTTGCTCAAATACATGGAAAAGAAACATGTACAGAACCTTTAATGATCAAAAGCGGTTGGAGCGAAAGTAAGGCATGCTATCTTCCAACTGCCTTTGTTTTAATTTGGTTTCCCATTCCCCACGAATCCTACGAACCCGCCCATGTTGAGGTCTGCCCCGACCAATGAGGTTTACCCCCCCGCCTCCCCTCCTCCCCCTGGCCCCTCCGAAACATTTGCCCTGCTCCATTTGTGGTTAAACATCTTTATAGTTTGAGGCCGTGCAGACTCCGGCTCTTTCTCTCCGTAGCGTTTCTTGAAACCAAATGTTCGCATACAAAACGCTACTTTGAAGAAAATCGCCCGTTCCGAATGACATATGATAAAAAGGTGGCGTGCTGGTGCATAGGGTGACACAGTTGGGTGGTAATGCTCTCCGCGCGTATGCTTGCTGGGCGCCTGTGATTGTTCAGGTGGTTATTTAATCACGTTGTTTAGCTTCCTGCTCCTCTGCTCTCTCCGCTAGGCCTGCGCCGCTTGTTGTCATGTTAAAGGTAAATAAGTCAATGTCTGGCAGTGATGATAGCATTCATTAAACAGGGGGGACAAAACAGCAGAGCGCTCCGTAGCTCCTCCTACTGTTTGTACTGAGTATTGTGACTGGAAGGTATAGGTAAACCATAAGCCTGTATCTGATTTTTACATTTTTAAAACCAAACTAGTTCATTATAAACGGTTTCAAAGGATCCAAAGTATTCCTCACTTATCTTACGCATTCTGAGTAGGCATGTAACGATATCCAAATCTCACGGTACGATATTTTCACGATATACATCTCACGGTACGGTATTTATTGCGATATTTTGTGAGATTTAAAGAATTTAAAAGTGCTTAGAACTGCTATTTCTTCATGTAATTTGCACCAAAACGAAGCAAAGGATCACGGTCGATGTAGTTCCCTTTGTTTTTTTAGCTGTTGCTGCACCATAACAACGAATTTACGCAAAGAAACTTGCGATCCGATATATCGTAACGGCCCACGATATTATCGAGAGACTTTCGACGATACGATGTCGCGTTATTTCGGTCCTAACTCTGAGCATCCTGATTCTTCAACGCGATGAGTTTATATGCGCTTTTCGCAACTTTTCCGAGGCCTAAACACAACTAGCATGCTAACCACGCACTTCCTGATTACCGGACAATGAAACGCTTCAAAAATAGACGCAAACAGTGCACAGCTGACATGTTTTGACCTCAAGAGCTGTTATTTACTGGGAAACTACTACATCTGGGGGACCCAAACCTTTACTCAAGAAAAAGTATTGTTACTCTTTTGAATATATTACTTAGTAGAAGTGAAAGTACTATGTCTGGAAAGTAGTCTTAGAAGTACAGTTGTATTAAAAAGCATACAGTTTTGGGGTTGTAGTTGGGTTTTTAAATGTTGGGTCAATAATCGCTTGTAATACTTTTGAACTTTTACTTTAAAACATGTGAGTGACCTATGATAACAAAAATAGCTCTGACCCCTGACCAGATGCTTGCAGGTTCCGTAAATTTTCAGTCTTACGATTTTCACCACACCTCCTAACCTCGTGGTATTTTTTTCCTGTTTTCGCAGATGAAATGAAGGATGATTTCGACGCTCTGGGGCCAGACGGCACACTGCAGACAGTTGGAAACGGTACAGGTAAGCCTCACCCATCCCTCGCATAGCTCCTCTCTAATCTACATGACTTCTGTCCCCGTTTCCGTGGTTACATTTTGCGAACTATGTGTTGCAACATTGATTTTAACTTGTGACCTCTTCGTGTGAGTCATTTTGAAAAGCGGAGTCAAGTTAGTTCAAAATGCGTTTATTGAATTTTCTTGGCATGAATTTGAAACTTCACGGTTTAATATCAGATCATTAAAGCCACAGTGTGTAAATTTCTGTACCTACGTGATTTAATGGGAAGTTAAAAACCATACTTTGGAACAGTCTCCATGGAGATAGATAAGTTTTAGGCCACAGAAGTCAGGTTTGTGGAGATGCAAGCCCACTCACTTTTTATTTTAGTTTTTCAGTCCAATAAGAATGATTAAAATGGGAAAAAGATCTCACATTTTAGTCTATTTTTTTTTTAGATAAGAAGTTACACAATAGGGCTTTAACACTAATCAAAATTTAGGTTAAGTTTAATGTAATTTTCACAACTTTGTACAGTGTTACTTCGTCTTTTTAGTCTTGTTCCTTGTACTTGTAAGTGTCTTGTCTCTCCTGGAGGAACCAAAACCACCTGCCATTCCGCATTAAAGCCGACTAAGCTGATTTGCAGCTGCACACCCCCCTTCACGATATCACCGGACGCCATGACAACCAGCTTAAGACACCATTCTAGTGAACTTAAGTCAACCTTCCCCCCTCCCAAAACTCTGACTTCCCATAGTGTTGAGTGGAGTAATATATGTTTCATACTTGAGTGAATAATTTAAAGGTCACATGGAATTTTTTCAGTACATATTTCCAATTTTGCAATATTTCCTCAGCAAAAACATAATTGTTGAAGTTAAAGCTTGTTTCTTGACCATTTGGATTCAGGAAGTTGATTATTTCACCATGAATCTTGCTTACAGTATAATTGTTTTGTTAACATGCAACACTGCTCATTATTGCCAGCAGAGGGCGCACACACTAATAAAAGATACATGCTCAAAGATAGAAGAATTTAGCCTAAATTAAAGAGTGATGTTTTGCAAATTTGACTTTTTGGAGCTTTCTACCAAGTTATAATGTTGTTTCCTTGTTGAAAAACATGTCTGAAGAGGTTTTAGATGTCACCCTTGCATGTTTGAGTAATCTAGCGATCTCTCCTGGGCCCTATTCGAACCCTCCTTGCGGCTAACAGTACGATTCTGTCCAGTGCTCAGCCCACACAACCGTTTTCCATAAATATACAAAAATAGGATCAAAAACAATAAGCTACAACTTCACAAACCTGATCTGATGTGCTTGCATGTTTGAGTAATCTAGCGATCTCTCCTGGGTCTTATTCAAACCCTCCTTGTGGTTAACAGTATGATTCTGTCCAGTGCTCAGCCCGCACAACAGTTTTCCATAAATACACAAAAACAGGATCGAAAAACAATACGCTACAACTTCACAAACCTGATCTAACGGGCTTGCATGTTTGAGTAATCTAGCGATCTCTCCTGGGCCCTATTCGAACCCTTATTGCGGTTAACTGTACGATTCTGTCCAGTGGTCAGCCAACACAACAGTTTTTTATAAATATACAAAAGCTGGATTCACACTACAACTTCACAAACCTGATCCAATGTGCCGTAGTTTCAGTTTATGATAGTGCTCTGAAGGGGGAGTAAGTAAGCATAGAGAGCAAAGAGCAAACACAGCGTTTTCAAAACAATAAAAGGCAACACAGTGATCTAAAGATGTTATGTGTTAGCAGTTAATACCCCATAGAAGTAAAATACCCCTTTTAAACTTTTTATTACCAACGCCGAGTGATCCAAAAGTACCTTTAAAACATAACATATTTCACACTATTCCTGCAGCTGTCAATATCAGCCATCTCCCCAAATGTTTCTCATCGGCCAAGCTCCGAAAAGACAATCCCGCACATACGATTCTATTTAGACGCTTACGCAGTTGGATCACGTTTTGTCCCCGAAGCCTTTTGTACCAAGGTGATTTCCTCCTTCACCGTCTGCAAAAACCCAACATTCTTTTGTCAGAGAAGAAGTCCTGCCCGGGCCCGCTCATCCGTACATGACATGATTGCTACCCTGCGCAATTAACTAGCGGTTTGAATAAACAGGAGGGCTAATAAGGATGCCTGTAAATGATGCGATCACAGTTCAAACGTGATCCATTGGCACGCGTGACATTTGGTTGCCAGATTTGACTGTCGAATATCTGGTACCTTGACCTTTCGCAAATTGGAGCGCGCAGTCATGACGGCCTAACAAATGGGTCTTAAACTCACCTTGGCCGCGCTGTAAAAAGCCTAATTAAGCGAGATGAGACCTGATGAGACGTCACTTTTTGGGGTTGAATGTGGTTAAATGGGCCCCGGATCTCCCAAGGTTGTGTGTCTAGAGAGTAAAAATAAAAGTAAGATTTGAAGGTTTAGAATCATGTCTTTATTCAGAACATAATCTCGCTTAAGGAAAAGTATCTTGCAGCATTGTTGGTTCTTGATTTTGCAAGTTAATATAAGAAATGTGCTGAAAAATAATAGCATAAAATTAACTTTTTCGTAAGGTTTTAGTGCCTAGAAAATGCCAAGAAACGCTGCTGCATCGCCTTTAAAGCTAAGAGTCTAAAAATAGCAGCAGCTAATGTCAAAGATAGCTATTAGGGAGTGATGCTTTACAGTAAAAGCATTTTAAGTCATACTCTGAAATCTAAAAATATGTCTGTTGAAGTTGTATAAGCTGTAGTGTGTAACAAAGAGCTGAGGAAGAAGCTCTCGAGAAGGATTTGGCACCGTTACTTACTGTGCTTGAATGAAACTACATTGTTTAAGCTCTTGTAATTTTGTTAATGGCTCAATAAGTCAGTTTAAAATGTAAATATTAAGACCACAGTGTGTAGCTTTTGAGGAAAATAGGCTAAAATGAAAGCGTGTTGGTTTGTTTTTTTGAATTTGGTTGTGACTATTGCACACACACTCACACACACACACACACAAAATAGAAAAACATATGTCCTTACAGTGTGGAGGCTTGCATCTCCACAAACCTGACTGTTACTTGGCCTGGAGGAGCATCTCTTCCTGCTTGGTTCCATGGAAATATTGTTCCTTTAGTTATAATCTTCAGTATGACACAAAACGTATCAATGTCCATGGAGAATAGGGGTGTGCAAAAATATCAAAATATCAATGTATGGCATCTTTTAATGTGATGATACAGTATCAATATCATGGGCTACTGTATCGATACATCGCCAAGAGTATTTTTTGGTATATTTTCCTAAATTATTTTGTTACAGAGCTACAGTTTTGTTGTTTGTTTAGTGGAAGAAACTCATTTGACATTTCAGTTTGAATTTCAATTTGAATTTATTCATGGAAAGCTCCATGTTTGCAGTTTTGATGATTAAAATGTTCGTGATTCAAAAAAACTTTGTACAAGAGCTGGTTTAACAAAGACTTTTAGTATCACAGAACTGTATCGAATCAAATTGAAATATATCGTAATGAAAAGTGTACTATATCGAAATATGTATCATATCGTGGCCTATGTATCAAGATATGTATCGTATTGGCAACTTCTCAATAATACCCAGCTCTAATGGAGAATGTTCCAAAGTATGCTTTTAACCTTTTTTTTTTTTTTTGTACCTATAACATATTTTTGTCTATTACATACTTCCATAGCATTTGGAATTTGAATTTAAATTTGAATTTATTCATGGAAAGCTCCATTTTCACAGTTTTGATGATTAAAATGTTTGTGTTTCATATAAACTTTGCACAAGAAGTGGTTTAACAAAGATTTTTAGTATCACATACATGATTTAGCCTTTATTTTTTATTGAACCGTATCGAATCAAATCGTATATGTATCGTATCGTGGCCTATGTATCGAGATATGTATCGTATCGGCAACTTCTTAATGATTCCCAGCTCTAATGGAGAATGTAAAAGTATGGTTTTAACGTTTTATTTTTTTGTTACGTACTGTACCTCTAACATATTTTTGTGTGGGACATACTTCCATAGCCCTTCCAACTGTTCGTCCAAACCTTTATTGAACTTAAGTCAGAATCAAATTACATTAACTCACAAACGCAACTCTTCAATCTTTCCTTCCCATGTCGTTTTGAACCCATGCCCTGTTTAATGAATCCCGCCATCTTCAGCTCTATACAGCTTTGTTTTCACGACAACAGCTATCTCTAAACCACAGCTTATGAGAACCCTCTTGAAGACATCATTTGAGCGAAAAGAGAAAGAATTGTATAGCCTCAGCACTTTAGTTTAAGATACTATAGCCCTGTGTGTTATAAGGCAAGACTCTTTCTTTCTCTCTGTCTCCCCCCTTCTCCTCTCTGTGCCAGTTTGTGGTCTGGCGCGGTAATCTGCCCTATACAGCGTCAACATAAGCCCCAGCGCTGATTGACCCTCCATGCGAAAGTAGAGACGGAGATTGCGTTTTGCAGTATTCCAGGCTGATTTCTACAGTCTTAAGCTTCTCCGCATCAGATTCTGTGTCACAACTGAATTAGGTCAGGGATGTTTTCGTACAAACGCGGCGGCGGCTTCTAGTGGCACGTTTGTATTAAGTTGCAGTTTTTATTTTCGTTGCCATAGCGTGACAAGCAAACCCAGTAATTTGGGAGAATTTTTTCCCTCAAAGTGGAGCCGTAATATTTCAAAGCTGCTGTTAGGCTAAAGATGTAGAGTAGTGGGTGAGATATTACAAATAAGAAGGAAATAAACATAAAAAAATCCTGTCATTTTGTAGTTAAAAATTAGATTCAAATAAAAATGTCAGCTGATTCTTGCAAAAGCTCACACTTCACTTTGATTGGTTAAAACGACCTGTCATTTACTTAGAGTTACAAAGACTGACCAATAGGAGTAGTAAGAGAGAAGAGATGGCTTAAAGGGAACTTTAAACCGAACTTTTTTGGTGCACTATTGATGTAACAATAACCGAAATATCGAGATATCGTATCATCAAAAGTGTCACACTAATATCGTGGGCTGTCAAAATATATTGAATTACAAGTTTCTTTGCTTAAATGCATGGCTTTATAGTAGCAACAGCTTATAAACATTGGGAACTACATATCCCATGATTCATTTCAGTGCGAACAACATGAAGAAATATGTTTTTTACTTGAATTCTTGGGATTATGACGGAAATAATTCACACAAAAATCTTGTTAAAGTATTTTAAAGGCAAAAAAGTGTCCTATCTACAATTATATCAGCCTCTTCAAAATATCGCAATAAATATCGTACCATGAGATGCCTATCATGATAATATCGTACTGAGAGATTTGGATATTGTTACATCCCTAGGTGGCACTACCAGAAGTTACAAATCAGATCTACGGGACCATAGAATACATGTTATTCAAGGCTTTTCAATAAAAACACTTGTAAACAAATAAACCCAAGAGATTTGTATTTTTAATGCCATTTTGGGGAACCTTCCAGGTATGCAATTACATCTCCATGGAGACAAGTAGATGACAGACCCTTCACCAGAAAAGTTACATGGTGGATAGGATTGGGTTCTTCTTCATTAAGAAGTTGCAGATACGATACACAGGCCACGATACGATACATATCTTGATACAGTGCAGTTTCAGTTCGATACGATATATATTTAAATTGATTCATTATGGTTGAATAAAAACTAACGTCTAAATCATGGCTGTGATATTAAATGTCTTTGTTAAACCACTTCTTGTTCAAAGTTCATATGAAACACAAACATTTTAGTCATGAAAACAGTGAAAATGTCAAATGTGTCTCATAAACAAGTTTCCTTCCTATAAACAAGCAACAAAACTATAGCTCTCTAACAAAAAATTTAGTAAAATATATCAAAAAAATGATCTTGGAGATATATCGATCCACGAGGTCATGATATAAATACTGTATCATCACATTAAATGATACGATATAACGATATTTCAATATTTCTGCACATCTCTCGTTGACATTTAACCTTTAAGAACTATTTCTTCAGAAAATTGTCACTGTGCTAAAATGATCATGTTAAAATATTGTTCCTCACTCACCTTCTTTTCTTTTCTTCTCCTTTTCTTCCAGTGAACAGTATGGATTGCACTTCAGAATTCGAGGACTTCTTCTCCAAAAGGAAGCTGGACGACAGCGACGGTCACGTGGACAGCATCGCCGAATACCTCCAGAGAGGGGACACCGCCATCATCTACCCCGAAGCCCCGGAAGAGCTCTCGCGCCTGGGCACACCTGAGGCTGCCGGCCCCGAGGAGAATGGTACAAAAATAACTTACTTCTACTTAACACTTTACTACAATACTCCAGTTTTGATTGAATTTTAGTTATGCTTATAAAAATCGTGACCTATTTTTGAGTCTTGGGGAACCACTTGTGTATTCTATTGCTTCATTAAAAATAGTATTCATGTGTAAATATGCTAAAAAGCCAAATATGTAATTAAAATAGAAGTATTGAAATCTGCACACAAGATTATAGGAACCAATTTATAGCACTGTGACATGATGGGCAAAAGTATAATAATTAGTCCTATAAGAGACTACAACGAGATTTAATTAGACAATATACACTTTAATTAATTTATTTTTAAAAATGCGTCGCAGTGTTGTTGTTGACATTAATTGTTCTACTTAAATACGATTTGGCATTACGTGGGGTCACACTATGTAAATAAAAGATGCAAAAAACACAAAACGTGACTTTCTAATTAATAATTGTATACTATGAATGGAAATGCATGGGATTTTTATGTTAGTTTAAGACTTCTGAGTTCAGTCTTGGATGTGTTCTTGGATTTTAAGACAAAACTGAACAAAAATCGCAGAAAACTTTGACCAAAATCATGCGATCTTCGAAGTTATTCCTCACTTACTTTATGTATTTCGAGTAGGCATGTCAGAATAACTAAAATATCATGATATCGTATCGTCAAAAGTCTCTCAATAATATCGTGGGCCATCAAAATATATCAAATTACAAGTTTCTCTGCTTAAATTCATTGTTATGGTGCAGCAAAAAACAGGGAACTACAAAGACCATGATCCTTTGCTCTGTTTCAGTGAAGAAATAACAGTTCTAAGCACTTTTAAATCTTAATTCTTTGGATTAAGTCATGTCAAGAGGAAAAAGTAGTATATTCACAATTTTGCCTCCACAAAATATCGCAATAAATATCGTACTGTGAGATGTATATTGTAAAAATATCGAGAGATTTGGATATCATTATGTCCCTAATTTCGAGCACGCTGACTATTCATCACGTAATTTTCACGTACATCGAGTTTTTAGCACTTTTTGCCACTTTCGGAGCAGAATTTTGCAGCTGTGGTAATGCTAACAACACTAACTAGCATGCTAACCGCGCACATACTGATCGTAAAAATATCGTACCGAGAAATCTGGATATATTACCTTCTTAATTTCGAGCACGCTGACTATTTACCACGAGTTTATAAGCGCTTTTTTTGCAACTTTCAGAGCGGAATTTCGCAGCCACGGGAATGCTGCAAGCAACAACTAGCATGCAAATCACGCTCATCCTGATTATATGACAATAAAACGCTTTGTTGTTAGATTTTTAAAGGACGTAGCAGTCTTATTTTGGTCTTGTAGAGCGTCATTTTGCAGCCAACAATAACAACAAGTAAAAACTAAGCGTGCTAATCATGAAAACAGCGCACTTCCTGCTTATCTTACAGTAAAATGCTTTATAATTGGATACAGACAGTACGCAGCAGACTTTAGTTGACTTTAAGAGCTGCTTTTACAAGATATCTGTACTGGGTGTAGATAGATTTTACTCAAATACATGGCAACAAATCAGGTACATAATAGAAAATATTTGTATGAAATAGAAAAGTACAAGCTCCAGATAGACAGGCGACTCTCTCCTGCGTCTTCCCCACAAAGGAACCTTCTGGACGGTTGTGGGTGACACGCGCGGGCAGCTGTGGCTCTCACAGACTAGCCCGGATGCCTCGGTGTTTACCTCCAGCCCGGGGCAACAGCTGGGCAGGGGCCTGAAACCAGATAGTGCACCTCACCCTCAGGAGAAGTACAGCTCTGATTCATGCTGCACAAATGTGAGCAAGGAACGCTACTAAAAGGGGAGAAAGCTACGTGGCTTTGTGCACTGTAAAAATGAATCGCCAGGCTTGGTGTTAAAACGGCTTGGGTTTCAAACAGGGCAGTAGCAAGTAAAAGTAAAAGACACGTGAAAAAATCTGCTTAAGTCAAAATATTTAAGTACATGTTTAAAAAGGTGCTTAGTTTGAGATCTAAAGCTTCAAATGGAGTGATTTTGATAAAGAATTGTGCTGAATTGTATTAATCAGAAACAATTTACAGATATTAATCTTGTTTGTCTAGCTGTTTTTCTTTGTATATTTTTGTTTGCTCAAATTATGAACATGTTAAAAATGAACTCTCAGTCTTTTCAGCACTTTTCAAACAATAATACTTTTACTTTTCAGTCCAGTACAGATACCTCCTCTCAAATGTAGTACAGTAAAAGTTAAATCTACCTAAGTAAAGCACGTATACCTACAATTTTTACTTACGTACAGTACTTTATTACTTGTACATCGTTACATTTCTCTACTGAAATAGAATTACACCTAATGACACCTTAATTACTTTTACAGATGTTATTCATAGTGTACAAATAGTTGTTATTACTCTAAAAATTTAAATGTTGGCTTTACTTACATTTTTTAAGTAGAAGTAAGTAATCTCTTTGCTACTTTATATTAATGATTTTAGTCTTTTTTCTTTTTTTGCATGTAGTAAAGTAAAAGTAAAATCTTTTTAAGTAAACCATGTATACCTGCAATTTTTACATAAGTACAGTATTTTACAACTTGTACTTTGTTACATTCCACTACTGAAATAGAGTTACACTTAATGACACCTTATTACTTTACAAATGTTATTGAAATATTGGCTTTACTTACATTTTTTAAGTAGTAGAAGTAATCTCTTTGTTATATGCTATAACTTTCAATCAACATAAACTGTATAGTTACTTAAAACACTTTACATTAATGATTTTACAAAGTCTTTTTTGCATGTAGTAAAGTAAAAGTATAATCTACTTAAGTAAAGCACGTATACCTAAAATTTTTACTTAAGTACAATATTTTATAACTTCCACTTTGTTACATTCCACTACTGAAATAGAGTTATACTTAATGACACCTTATTACTTTACAGACAGTATTCATAATGTACAAACAGTTGTTATTACTCTAAAAAAAAAAAAGAAATGTTGGCTTTACTTCATTTTTTAAAAGTAGAATTAACAAATTTCTTTGTTATATGCTATAACTTACAATTAACAAAAATATTTACTTACTTAAAATACTTAATATTAATGATTTTACATAGTCTTTTTTGCATGTATGTGTATAATCTTCCACACTAGTTAGTACATGACAAATATTTAACCAAATGTGTTTACTTCCTAATAAAATGAATATAGTAATAATACAAGACCATAAAACGGCAAATAGATTTCGCAACTGTTAGTGTGGTCTATTGTTAACTTGTAAACAGGAAACCATAAAACAGCACGACTAAGACTAAGTTCTGAAAATATCATTTGAACCGTCAGCCCAGAGCTTCATTATAAATAGCGTATTGAAATAACTTCGAGCTTAGCCTGCAGTTAATATGAGACCTTCGCGAGCGCCATTCAAAAGTATATGTCAGTGCATACTTACGGACGTTAAATGAGGGTAATTAATGAAGCTTAAATATTGTACTACAAGTTTTGACTATCAGGAGGAAACCTAGCGGGACTAAACTAAGACTAAAAGAGGATGAAGATGTCTGCAAAACACGTGATGGACTCATGTCTCAGTAGGGTGTAAATCAGGACAGGCCCAGGCTTTAACCGTACTCAAAGTTAAATAAAATAAACCAAAGACTAAAATGACAGATTATACATGTATTTGCGCGGGTATTCAAAGTTTGCGTACAGAAGCAGAGCCGTTACATGAAGTTTCGGGGGTTAGTTCATTGACTGGTGTAGGTGAGGTGTGGTATGCTGCAGTTTTACTATGTGAAGAAAACTGATCCTGCTTTGGCTCTCAATGTAAAGCTGCGCAAGTGTGTGAGGCCTGTGGGGGCACTGTAAAAAGAAAAAGTTGACAAGTTTTCACTGATTTGAGTTCAGAAAGAGCATTTGTTTGGAGTAGAATGAACTTGATGGCTAGAAAAATCTGGAGTTTTAATAATTTTCAATATGTATCACCTGTTTAATCAAGGAATTTGTCTCAAACTTTGGATTAGTAAAGTGCAAAAGTTAAGAAGTTAGTAACAACATTGTAAACAAGTCCACCTAAATGAATCTTACTCAAATTAAAAGATAAAAAAGCTACGAAATATTAACGAAAACTTGTCTTTCTTCAGAATTTTACAACATACAAAGCAGTAACTAAAAGCATTTTCAGATTTTTTTTCCTAAATTCAACTTGATGTTACTTGTTTAGATATAATTTTTGCCAAAATTTTAACTTTTCTTTTGATTTTTTCCTTGTGCTAGAATGTGTCAAACAAAACACTGACTAAAATGATAAAATTTAATCTGAATTCAAAATTTAACAATACTTAAGTAGTTGTACAGTATTTCTGCTAAAATTTCTCAAATGAAAAGGAAATATTGAGTTGATTTAACCTGATATTTTTACATAAATTTTTCCCCATGCTAGAATGTTGCAAACAAAACCATACAACGATAAAATTTAATCTGAATTCAACTTAAATATAAAGTTTTTCTTCCAAAACTATTCAAATCAAAAGATAAATATTGAATTGATTTAACCTGATATTTTTACATAAATTCTTCCCATGCTAGAATGTTACAAACAAAACAATGACTAAAATGATAAAATGTAATCTGAAACCAACTCATAACAATACTTAAGTAGATATAAAGTATTTCTGCCAAAATTCCTCAAATCAAAAGATAAATATTGAGTTTATTTAACCTGATATTTTAACAAAAAATTCTCTCGTGCTATAATGTTACAACACAAAACAGTGACGAGAAAACAATTGCCTCTGGTTCAGTTACCGTTATGTAGCTTGCATTTTTACAGTGCCCATGTCAGTGCATGTGGTACGGGGGGGTCGCCGTGGATACCAGCCCAACACAGTGTCTCTCATGAGGAGCAGATTGCACTCATAACTCCCATACCACTCTGGGCAGCCGTCCCATTAGCTGCCATTGATTTCGCTGACCTTTTGGCCCGCTTTCTCTTACCCTTGTTCCCCCCTCCTCTCTTTCCCCTCCGTCCCTCCATCCCCCCCTTCCACAGACCTGCCACCTGGAACGCCAGATGCTTTCGCCCAACTGTTGACCTGCCCGTACTGCGACCGCGGCTACAAACGCCTGACGTCGCTGAAGGAGCACATCAAGTACCGCCACGAGAAGAACGAGGAGAACTTCGCCTGCCCGCTATGTAACTACACTTTCGCCTACCGCACTCAGCTGGAGAGGCATATGGCTACGCACAAGCCCGCCAGAGACCAGGTGAGAAACATGTCCACGGTCCTGTAGTATGGAAAACGGACTCCTGTGAACGTTAAGACATGTTAGAATGTTTTTGCTTCGTTAAAAACACGCCCGGAGTTGTGTTTTGTTTCATTCACACATTGTCTGAAATTGTCCAAATGATTGTAGTGAAGTTTGGAGCACTTCCTGTATTCTGAATTGATGACATCACAAGGTGGAACAGAGTGTTTTCAGTTTGAGCGAAGAACTCACCCTAAATATCAAGGATTTGTGTGTTAAACGTGTGAATGACATGAAATAAAACACAATTTTGGGTTTGTTTTTGATGACGAAAATAGAAAATAGCGTAATATGATTGATTTTTAGATAATTTGTCTTGTTTTTGGTGGGAATTTAAGCCTAATTGCTTTGCATCTTGGCGTTCTCTGGTTGACATAAGAGTTACAATGCAAAAACTAAAATCTAGCTATGTTAAGATGACTTGAATTAAGAAAGTTTGATTTCACTTAACAAGCAAAATGATTCGCCAATGCAACAAGACTTTTCGTACTTCGTAAAATATGAAAATACATCTTGCTACACTTGAGATAAGAACAATTACAACTCTTTGCTCTTAAAATAAGAAACAAAATTGAATGTTAATTTTACTTTTAAGTTGAACCTACTCAATAAATCTGTTCAAATAAAGTAAAAAGTTCTTAGTTTAAGTCAGTTTAACTTACCTAGATATTGCTTTTTTCAGTGTATACAGTGAGACAGTGGATATAATATCAATAATAAAACAAAACAAAAACAAAAAATACTAAAAACTAAAAAAAAAAACTGCAAAGTCATTGATTTATAATAATAGAAAAAAATACATTTTGCTTCAGAATTTAGTATCCTTTTTCATCCCAACTCTCAAACACAATTACATCATCACTAAACTTGCACATTGGCACAACACCAGGCAATATTTGAACCGTTAACCCTCTGGTATACGGGCACAAACTTAACCAACTACACCACGGTTGTACTGCTGGTGACTGGTGACTTCAGGTGAGATTTACACAAAAAGTTGTTTTCGCTTCAGGACTGGACCATCCCCTTCTACTTAATCCTTAATGATCCTTGCCTGAAGAGCTGAATAAGAGATACCATTTTTTTTTTTTTTTCTGATTGGCAATCATTATTAATTTTTCATGGCATTTTGAAGATGCAGATCCTTTAATGGTAATAACTTTAATTGAGGCCCTAAATGGTTTTTTGATGGCCCTCCCTGATATGATTTCGCGAGCGCGTGTTCACGATCCAATGATTGTGTTAATTTCCAATTTGGAAATTTTTATCAGCTCCTTAACTTCACTTCACTCCTGGCCTTTAATGCGGTTGGGGTTCGGTTGCGGTGCTTCATCACCACCACCACCCCCCCCTCCTCCTCCTTTTCCTCTTCCTCCCCCCATCTCTAATTTCATCCACCGGCGTAAACATCTGGGTACGCTGGCTTGCTATCTTCTCCCTGCCATTTATTTCCTATATGGTTGAATTTGACCATGAATCTCGCAGTCACGCATGTTTAACTCTATGGTGTCAGATGGATAGGAGCCTCAGAGCTTTTGGACTTTTTGCACATTTCAAAGATAATTAGATCCTCTGAGTTAAATCGCGGCAGTAAATTTGGGGTGGTTTTATCCGAGCCGTGAACCGTAATAACTTATGTCAAACTTAAGGAGCAAATCTGGCAAGAGTGGTGTTTCTTACAATGAAAACATTTTTGGAGCAACTTTTAGGATATCAACATGTCAAAACCAAAGAGTTGTGATTTTGTAATGATTTTTTAAAAGCTATTTAGACCTCATTTTATCTATTCAGCCGTCCGTGAATGCTCTAAAGCCTGCCAGTTTAAACTTATAATGTGTAACTTTCTAGAAGTGGCACGATTCCATGGAAATCGAAAGATAAATCCATACTTCGGAACATGGAGATAGATACGATTACGCCCTGACGAAGACCATCTTGCTGGTCCAAACACGTTGGCGTCCCTTCATGCAATAAAAAACTTTTAATATATTCAGTCGGAGTGCTTCGGGTTTGTACCTTGCCCACTTTTACATTTTTCAGTAAGGGTACTAGTTTCACCCTCGTAGATCACGTGTACTGCTATTTTTTACTTTTTTATGACCCAGTGAAGTGCTCTACCTCTTTTCATCATCTGACGTATTGAGGTAGATATGTTTTAATGCCATATTGTGGAACATCATAACAAGTAAGAGTTAGTTTTGGGGAAATGCAAGCCAGCTCTGAGTAAAGACACTTTTTTTTAAGTGTTTCAATGCAAGAAACACAAACAAAAATGAAAAAAGAGAAAAAAACTGGCTAAAAAGTTACATACGGTGGCTTTAATACGGTAAAAAGTATAAAGATATGTCTTCAGAACACTAAAACAAAAGTGCAAATTGGATCTCCACCGAAAGAAACTTCCACATTACAGTAATCAAAACAAAATTTTGACCTGAAAGTACTTCGCAATCAACTGCTTTATCGTAATCAAGAGGGTGTATCATTTTTTTACTCCAAATTATACATCGAATCACATCAAACTGAAACTGATCTGAGCTTCTCTCACTGGCACATCACTAGAGGTATTACTGCAGCTCTATTACAGGCTATGAGCTCATGGGTGAGGGGCATTTCTGTGTGAAGAGACTTGACAAGCTCCTTCACCTGATCTCACAGCTGGCCCTCAGACGTGAGCAGATGGACCGGGCCGCATCCCAATCCTCACATTACAATGACTCCTCTCTCCTACACTCATCCTTTCTCTCCTTTCCTCCTCTGCCAGTGACCAAGAGTCCTTTCACTCACAAAGAATCTTATCTGGATTTGTAAATAGGCCTGGTTGTTTAAAGCGCATATGGCAGGTTAGACTAGTTGTTTTTACTAACACAGACTTAACATAATTACATTTTTAAAAATTAATATTAATATTTAAAAATCTTGCCAAGTTTTTTCTCTTTTTTTTCAATTTATTTTTCACTTTTTTTTTTTTTTGTTTTTTTTTTCTCCCTTTTTTCAATTTTTTTTCTCCGGATTTTTTCTTCATTTGATGTATTTTATAATTTTCCTTCCTGATTTGACATAAGCTGCAGATATGACATATGTACAGGTAATTCCATAAGTGTTACCTAGCTACTGTGCATAAACAAAGGCCAAAAATTGTACTGCAGTCGGTTGTTGCTGCATTTCCGATGGAATTTTGTCGAAATTTGCCGTTTTAGAACTTAGCACTACTTCTTGTAATTTTCTACTTTTCTTTTCAACTTTTTCCCACTTAAACTGATGCAAAACTGTGATAAATATTTACTGCAGGTACTAACCACCCAAACTAAGTCAGAATCGGAAAAACAAGATCACCTGTTGTGTGCGCTTTAAAGGATATAGCTGACAGTAATTAATGACAACACGTACAATCCGAATTCCCCCATTAACATAAAAGGACCTCATGTGCCCTGCTATGTTTACCGTTCGTATCACTCCGCCTCCTCTTAACCAATTAGCCGAAATATGACTAATTAGCGGTTATACATATGCAAACATGCGCCGATGAGCCCGCCCACTTTCGCTTTCCTCTTGCTTTTAGTCGTGCCATTCACAATTAAGCGCGCAAAAACGATTGTATCTTATTAGCGGCGGCGGCGGGACTAAACTTTAGCTATAGCGGGGCGCGCGGGGGTCCTCAGGGGGGTACTGCGACGACCGAGGGAGGGAGGGACGGAGGGAGGGGAAGGGGGGGGCCGAGGAGGAGGTGCCCGAGCAGCTGTTGCTGTTTGTTTATGCGACTCAGCAACATGGCCGACCCCCCTCCCTCCCTCTCCCTCTCCCTCTTCCCCTGCCTCCTCCCTCTTTTCTCTCTCGGCTCTTGATCTGGGAAGGCAGGGGCTGTTTGAACAATCCCTCCCAGCGCAGGACACTGGGAGCGGGGTCCTGTGCGCCACCATCTGTCTCCCCTGGAATGTGGGTAGAGCCGGAGCGCGCACCACCCCAGCATTTGTCAGGGCTCGGCGGGGAGGAGCAGCCAGCGAGCTTTTCAAGTCTATTTAGCAACAGTTTAGCGCGTTCACCTCACAATAGTAATTAATGGCGCACGGTAAAGCGACGTGATGTAACTGAAGTTGTAATAGTTTTCGACTTACTTAACTGTACACGTTTTGCTTTTTACAATTAGAGGACACATGCTCGCAAATATTCAGCAAGTCTACTTAGCACTTTTACTTTGTACGTAATGGTGCATGATGAAACTGTGACGTAATTGTGAAGTTGTAATACTTTTCTACTTCCAACTGTATACGTATAGCTTCCACAACAAGACAAGTTTATTTTATTTGGTAGTAAATATTTGATGTGTTGTAAAATTTCTTACTTCAGCATACAAAAAACAGAATGAATAACTAACTTTCTTCTTACAAACAGTGTCTGTTTACAATTTGACAGTTAAACAAAATATTCAAAAGTCAAGTTTATTTGTTTTAAGTTATATTTTGTCTCTTATACAGTAAGTCATAAGTGAAATTGTAAATGCAAACTGCTGTTCATACAATGTTTTTTTTTTTTTTTTTTTTTTTTTGGAATTCTGTCATTGTTTAAAAGGGTTTGGCATTATAAGTACCTTTTACTTCAGCCTAAACCCTTTCATCATGTCATCATGTCATGATCGATAGGATTGTAATCTATATTTTTTGTTTTGTTTTGTTTTGTGTTCTAAAATGACCAAATACTACTACTACTACTGCCACATACAAGCAAACTTTCATTTCATTCTAAATTATCTCACTTAAGTGTTCTCAAAAGAAACAATTCAAAACTAAAATATGTCAAAGAAAAATGAACTTTCTTTGGGCGAACCGTGTCACCTCGCATTTACAGATTTTGAGCGAAAAGCGACGTTTTCATGCGCGATAAAATCCAAAACAATAAAACAATAATTATTTTTCTACATTTTTGTTATTACAGCTTTTTACAGCTTCACATTGTCACCATCGAAATCACATTACAGTGTAACTAATGTGGACAAAACTGGTGACAATTGCATAACATGAATTCAAACTACAGAGCGCCTGGTTATTGGGTGTTCACAAATCATCCAAAAAAAATTGCACAAGAAAAAAAAAATAAATAAATAAAATAAAATAATAATGTTAAAAAAAAATCATAAAAATAAAATAAAAATATATGTACCTTTATTTCAGTCCACACATCGCAAAATGTTGATAATAATAATGCTTCTTTACCATCATGTAACAAAATAACATAGGGGATATTAGTATAGCACTTGTTATTATTATACAGTAATATCTTTAGCTCCAATATGGACAGATTGTACGTAGCTTTGAACAGTGAATCGAGGCCAGCGAGGGGTCTCTTTGCTTCAGCGATGATAAAAGCCTCTTCTAATTACTCGACAGATTCCAAAAGCGAGTCTAATTGAAGTGTGAATACAGGTATGTGGGCCGGACATTACCAGGGCTACCTTCAGTGATTAGGACCAAATTAATGAAACGTAGATGAGATCAGTCCCTCTAATGAAGGAGAAACTCTAAAATAAAAAATCTTTTCTTCTCAGGCCAAATTCCAAAGGCTAGCTCGGTTTGGCGAGTGAACCAGGAAATTAAAAGGTATTCTGTGTTATCATAGCGCTGTTTCAATGAAGGTGCGATGGAGAACGCCAAGATGCTTAGCTGGCGAGGGGAGCCATTTTGTTACTTGTTGTCATGCCGACCAGTAGTGATTATTTACTGAACTCTCACCCCCGCAATGTTTGTGCTTTTTTCTCTTTGCGTTTTTTCTAACTCCAGTCTTCTTTTTTCTGTTTTTTTTCTCTCTCTTCACAGCACCAACTGTTAAACCAAGCAGCTGGCAACCGCAAGTTCAAATGCACTGAGTGTGGCAAGGCATTCAAATACAAGCACCATCTGAAAGAACACCTCCGGATCCACAGCGGTGAGTGAGGGAGCGAGAGCGAGAGAGAGTGGCGGAATATTCGGGAGGTCCCTGAATGCAACAGGAATTCCAGTGTGGTTTATTTTGGAGCGGCGCTGCTGTTAGGTGCACTCCGAACTCCACTGTTAATCAATGAGTGTGCCAAGTGCAATATTTGTGAAAAGTGTGAACAGAATTTCAGCTGATACGGCTGGTCCCTGCCAGTGCTCGGATAAATTAAGTAACATCACTTCATTTTAGATTTGATGTTTTCTGCTATATGCATGTATGCAAATTATTTTAAAAAGTACACGCATTACAATGACTCGGATTTAGAATACGTGTTTGTTTTGAATAATTTTGACTAGACAGAAAATCAAAATGTTTCAATATTTCATCTTAGGTTTTTTTTTTTTTTTTTTTTTTTTCTACAGTAGTATCATAAGAAAATTGTCTCAGCTTTTGGATTAGACAAAAAAGAATTTAAATATGATTTTTAAACAGGAAAGTAAGAAAATTGTGAAATTATTTGCGAACAAAGTTATTTAAATCCTCATCATGATCAACAGACGATAAATCAATCTCAATACTTCTATATTTGTAACATGTTTATCAGTAATGTTCGAAGTTTAAACTACACAAAATGAGCAAGTACTGAGAACTTAAAAAGTTTTATATCGTGTTTCCTAATTCTTTTCTTCTGGTTTGTTCTTCCAGGTGAAAAACCCTACGAATGCCCCAACTGCAAGAAGCGCTTCTCCCACTCGGGCTCCTACAGCTCGCACATCAGCAGCAAAAAGTGCATCGGCCTCATCGCTGTGAACGGACGCATGCGAGCCAACATGAAGACCGGCTCCTCACCGACGTCCGCCTCCTCCTCGCCCACCAACACCGCCATCACCCAGCTCCGGCAAAAACTCGAAAACGGGAAACCTCTCGGCCTTCCGGAACCCAACAACCACCACATGAGCATCAAGACAGAACCACTAGACTTCAATGACTACAAGCTCATGATGGCGTCGCACGGTTTCGGAGCGCCGGGGCCTTTTATGAACGGAGGGGTAGGCGGTAACAGTCCCATGGGTGTCCACCACAACTCCACAGCCCAGAGTCCGCTGCAGCACCTGGCCATGGCCGGGTTGGAGTCGCCATTGCTGGGCTACCCCGGGCCGCTGGCTAACAACCTGAGCGAGGTACAAAAGGTGCTCCAGATCGTGGACAATACCGTTTGCCGGCAGAAGATGGACTGCAAGCCGGAGGAGCTGTCCAAACTCAAGGCGTACATGAAGGAGCTGGGGTCTCAGATGGAGGAGCAGCAGAAGCAGGCAGGCGGGCAGGTCGGGCTCCCCCTGGTCAGTCACAACGGGGCCACCAAAAGTATTATCGACTACACGTTAGAGAAAGTGAACGAAGCCAAAGCCTGTCTCCAGAGCCTCACTACGGACTCCAAGAGGCAGATTAGCAATATCAAACGGGAGAAGTCCAACCACATGCTCGACGGAGGTGTGGATGACAAGGTGCAGGAGAACATGTTTACACCATACGCTTGCCAATACTGCAAAGAAACCTTCCCCGGGCCCATCCCCTTACACCAGCACGAGCGCTACCTGTGCAAGATGAACGAGGAGATCAAGGCCGTGCTGCAGCCCACAGAAAACCTGATGGTCAACAAACCAGGCCTGTTCCTAGAGAAGAACAGCCACCTCTCCCCCTCCCTTCTGTCAGACAAGGGCCTCCCCGCGCCTCTTAATCCTTACAGGGACCACATGTCTGTGCTAAAGGCATACTTTGCCATGAACATGGAGCCCAACTCAGAGGAGCTGCTTAAGATTTCCATAGCCGTGGGCCTTCCTCAGGAATTTGTCAAAGAGTGGTTCGAGCAGCGGAAGATGTACCAGTACGGCAGCACCAGGACGCCCCCGCTGGAGCACAGGAACAACTCAGACATGGTAATCGGAACAAATAACCTCCACACTCCTCCTAAAGACTCTGTGGTGCCCCAGTCACCTGTGTCTCTCATGAAAGCTACTGAGCGCATCACGTCCCCCTCCATCGCCGAGCTCCACAACAACGTCAACAACTGTGACAACCCTCTGAGACATCTGAAGAACCATCAGTTCAGCGGCAGTGCCAAAGCCCGCGGAGACAAGCTGGACCACTCCCGCAGCAACACGCCCTCCCCCCTGAATCTGTCCTCCACCTCCTCCAAGCACTCGCACAGCAGCTCCTACACTCCCAACAGCTTGACTTCAGAGGACCTGCAGGCTGAGCCGCTGGACCTGTCTCTGCCCCGCCTCATGAGGGAGCCCAAGCATGCACTGACTGTCAAAAGCAGACCCAAAATCAACAGTATCACCATGGACCACAGCAGCATCCCCTCGCCCCGAGAGCACTTCGAAGAGCCTTTGAACTTGGCCTATCTCAAAAAGGAATTCTCCGCCGCCAACAACGGAAACTTAGAGAAAAGCACTAGCCCTATTTTTGGCATTAACCCTTTTGCGGCCAAGCCCCTGTACACGTCCCTCCCCCCTCAGAGCGCGTTCCCTCCGGCCACATTCATGCCCCCCATGCAGGCTAGCATCCCAGGGCTGAGGCCCTACCCAGGCATGGATCAGATGGGCTTCCTACCACACATGGCCTACACTTATGCAGCGGGGGCAGCTACCTTTGCCGAGATGCAGCAGAGAAGGAAGTACCAGCGGAAACCCGGGTTCCAGGTAAATTACACACAGAGGTTTAGTGATTCATGGGTTTCAGCTTCCTGTTGTTTGCAGCCCTCCATGGGATTTTTTCCCACTGAAAATACACAATGTTTAGTTTTAAATGGTTTAAATCCTTATGGCAACTGTCCAAATTTGGAAAATCCATGGATACGTAGGAGAGACTGAGAGGTGATAACCTGTGGAACAAGCAGGTTTTCACCCAAATAGCAGACAGGTGCTGACTGGACATTCAGTTCATAATGAATGGATTTATTTAGTGTTTATGCTGACGACAGAGAGTGTTCAGTTGTATAATTCTGCTAAGGTAGACATAGAGTTCACTAAGCTCCTTTAATCTGCCTAATCTCCAACAGTGCATTTAATCTTTGTGAATTCCCACTTTTTGAACTGAAATAATTGAAAACAATCAAACCCCAGGATGTCTTATTTGCCTTTATAAATGCACCTCATTTCACCCAGAACTGTTGGATCCGGCTCAGTCCCAGCTTGGCCCTGATCTGCTGTGGATGAAATATATATGAAGCGTTGTGTTAGAATAGTAAAGGTGAGCCTGGGAGCACTGCACTTGTCTCAGAGTCGGCTGCATTTTAACGAGTGAGGCCCAAACGAGCTGCGCAGGGATTAATAATGCAGTCTCGTTCATTACACCCAGCGCTGAAGGCTGTTTAACATGGAGCCAACCTTTCTGATGAAAAACTGCTAATAATGTTTCCTATTCTAACTTATTAAATTAGGTTTTAAAAATACAGCTACGGGCGTTTAGTTCAAATTGATTGCAGAGTGATAGTGGCCCCCGCATTATCTCGCACATATTCATTAAACAGGACCAATATTAGCCATTAAGGTGCACCATATGATAGGAGTTATTATAAGTGCGACGTGTCCCTCTAATGTCCTAATATTGTTCTCCATAGAGCCGTGTTTAAGGCTAATCTTCATAATGGAGATTTCTGTTCGCTGAATACACCAGTGCAGTTTTATAATGTAAGCTCTGTCAGACACAGGCTGTGGAGAAAGCCAATGTCCTATTACCTCTCTACAGGGCTGTGGCTGAAACAGGAGGAAAGAAAACATCTGTGTTTAATATGTTTGACTTTATGAAAATGACGAAATTAATACATGATTATCAGTGATTCTCGTATTGATAATGAGCTTATGCTAGAGTGTGTGCTATTATAAAATTTGAAACAATACTACACATAACAATATTGCATATTTTCTTATTTTTTATGTACATTTTGAAATATTTTTAATTGAAATTTTATTTAATGTCACTTTTTGGTGTTTTGGGGTCAAGTAAGTTAAAATGCAACGCTTAAATAATTAATTAATTAATAAATAATAAAATAAATAAATGAACAACCATTTTTTGCAATAAATATCTACCAGTATTTTTTTCTGAATATTGTAGCATATCACAACAGTTTTTAGTTATTCACTTCATTTGTTTTAATTATTTTATTTTTTATTTTTTTATTTACATTCAAGGCAAGTCCTCATCTGACCCCTTTTTACACTGACCCACATTGCGGTGTAGTTTGACTGACATCTCCTTCTCCTCTGTCTCTCTCTCCCTCGTCTTTCCCTTCTCTTTCTCCCTCTTCTTTTTCTCCCCTTTGGTTTGGTTCAAAGGGGGACCTGCTGGACGCCACGCCCGATTACTTGTCCGGCCTGGACGACATGACAGACCCCGACTCCTGTCTGTCGCGGAAGAAGATTAAGAAGACTGAAAGTGGTATGTACGCGTGTGACTTGTGCGACAAAACATTCCAGAAGAGCAGTTCCCTTCTCAGACACAAATATGAACACACAGGTATCTACTGTTACAGACCCTTATTTTAAACCCCATGCTTTTATGTTTTCAATGTTTGTGTTCCGAATCCTAGTTATGGAATTTTATCTTATGTTACCTCCCCCTCTCCCTTCCTTTAATTTTTTTTTTCTATTTCTTCCCCTCTTTGTTACCCCTCAGTTGAATGTAAACACACCTAACTTGCTTTTTCATTGACAGGGAAATTACGAGAATAATTGATTATTTGTAATTTGCTAAAAAATTTGCTAAAGAAAAAAAAAAAGTGTGTTCTTTCTTAAATTCCAAAAAAATAGAAATTGCAGTTTCAGATTATGTCAGATTTTGTGTCACCGTCATCCTTCATTGCACCCTTTTTTACCATCATATTTCATCATTGTTTTAATATTGTAACAGAGGCGGAAAGTAAGAAAATATTTTTACTTGAGGATTTTTTAGCTCTTAAATTTTTTAAATTTAAGTAAAAAAAAAAAAATAAAACCTACATTTGACATAAATTTTATTGCAATATTTAATCACTGCAGCAGCTAAATAAAAATGGTTGAATTCTACTTTTTCTTCATACTTCGTAGTAATATCAATTCAGCATACTTTTTACTCGAGTAGAGATATTCACTACTTCTCCGCCTCTGTCTTTTCGCATTAACCACTTAGATATCTTCAAAGCCTACCTCGGCGCACACATAGACCTAGTGCTTTTATGCTCCCTTATTGGAGATAGATCGCATCAGCAGTAGCAGCGTTCGGAGCCTTCAAAACGCCAGATAACACGTCTTTCATTTGCCTTAATATGGTAGATCCTCTTTCAGCAGGTTGCATCACATATTTTATCCGCTATCGGTAGCTCCTCGGACTTAAAAGAAAGCCCACGCTCTCATTGGAAATATTTTTATTATTTTATAAAGGTATCTCCGCAACCCACCGCATATTTAAAAACGGGTGTTGATTTTAGCGAAGTCATGAGTTTGCTAAAGCAAGCGAGTGTGGTAGCGAACTTGGGTAGTTCGAAGTGTCAAAATGAAGGCAAGGTTGTCCATTATCGCCTGACTTATTCACCCTATGTATTTAAAAATGAAATTGTTAATGTTTCGCAAAGAAAATTTGACACTGAGTTAAGTTTTAAAATGTGTAATACAAGTTTCTGAGAATAGTCAGGCCTAGTCTTAAACATGGTTGTCCATTATTCCCAGACATATTCAGTCGATGTTTTCAAATGAAGTTGGCAGTTTCGCTCCAAGTTTTAAAACCAAATTCAGTTTTACAATACATAATACAGGCCTAGTCTTAAAGAAGGATGTCGATAATCTCCAAATATATTCATATAGACTTATGGATTTTTTATTTAAATTTAAGTTTTGCTAGAGATTTTGATACTGGGATAGTTCTTATTCTTACTATTTTTATTATTTTTTAAATTATTATTATTATTTTATTTTATTTTTTTCAGAATAGAGCAGGCCTGGTTTTAGTCAAGGCTGTCCTTTATCACCAGACATGTTTACCCTCTATATTATGAAATCTAATCGTTTATGTTTCGCTACAGATATTAAGAAAAGTTTCAAAATAAATGATTACAAGTTTTTGAGACTAGGGCAGGTCTAGTCTTACTGTAGACATTACAACTAGTTGGACATGGACCCAGCCAGACAGTTTATAGGCCTGCCGTCATAAAAACCAACCCTCTCACTCTGCCTTCTGCGGCTAGCTCCAGTTTCTTATTTCTCCTTTGGCATCCTGAGTACGATTCGGTCATGCACCCCATAGCCTAAATAGTAGCGCCGCCCCAGACGCGGAGTAATGCGTCGAGATAAGCTGGATGCCCTGGGACCATGTACACATACACACACAGTATTCGCTTCTACGTCGTGATGGTGTTTGTTTGGATTGCCCTGGTTTATTTCTGTTGCGTTCATAAGAGCAGGCTGAAAATAAGTAGTTGTGGTTGAGTTTCTCGGGGCCCAAACCACAAGAGGGGAATTTCCATAATGTAGGCCCACGAATGCTAGCACACTTTCTCAATGCTCTCGCAATTAGGAGCAACTAGACTTGTCAGGAGTAATCGGTTTTACAGTGAATCGTGATTGTTGATGTCACAGTATAGTCAAAAGAATTTAGGAAGGACAGTAATAACCAACGCTGAAGTAATTAGGGTTTGTTTAAGTAAAATCTATATGCATCTGGGAAATGTGTTTTAAGGACAAATTTTAATGAGAACTTTGATTTGGAAAAAGTGGAATTGTGGAGGGGTTTTGTGAGTGACATCTTGTGACAAAAAAAAAAAAAAAGAAAAAAAAATTATATAATTTCACAGCATATAACAAACCCAGTCCACAACCAAAATTTTATTAAAAAAAAAAAATAAATAAATAAAAATATTAATTAATAAATGAATAAATAAATAATTAAACAGTAATAATTAGAAAAATTAAATGTCTTAATGATTTCAAGTCAGAAAAATGTAACTGTACTAAATTTTAAAAAAGTATATAATTTCATAGTATATAACAAACTCAATTCACAACCAAAATGTTATAAAATAATAATAATAATAATAATAATAATAATAATAATAATAATAATAATAATAACATTAATTAATAAATAAACAGTAATAATTAGAAAAAAAAATGTCAGTGATTTCAGGTCAGAAAGATATAACTGTCAAAATTGTGTTTGAGAAACGGATGCAGGCTACATTTATTTCCAAATTTGAATGAAATTAAGTTGACGAATTAGCGAAATGTTTTGTCTCACAACGTCTTAACGCTCAAACTGAATATTATGAATTTCCCCAGCACCAACTGCTAGCCACCATCATGTCATCTTAATCCATTCAGTCCATCACTTATGTTTGCTGTGATTGTGATTGTTGTAATAGTGGATTTTCTGGCCTCCGACTGACGTACTTCGCTCTTCTTTTTTCTCTTTTTTCTGTCTCTGCAGGGAAGAGACCCCACCAATGTCAGATCTGCAAGAAGGCCTTCAAACACAAGCACCATCTAATCGAGCATTCGCGTCTCCATTCCGGGGAAAAACCTTACCAGTGTGACAAATGCGGCAAAAGATTCTCCCACTCCGGCTCCTACTCCCAGCACATGAACCACCGCTACTCCTACTGCAAACGGGAGGCGGAGGAGCGCGAGGCGGCCGAGCGGGAGGCGAGGGAGAAGGGCGGTCACCTCGAGCCCACCGAGCTGCTCATGAGCCGGGCCTACCTGCAAGGGCTGGCCCCGCAAGGCTACCCGGATCTGGGGGAACGCGAGCCCATCCTGAGGCACGACGCGGTGGCGGCGGCGGCGATGAACGGAGGGGGCGGGGCCATAAGGGAGGAGCGCAAGGAAGTGGAAGGAACGTACGGCAAGATGGGCGGAGGCGGAGGTGGCGGTGGAGGCGGAGGAGGCGGAGGCGGAGGTGGAGCGAGGGAAGAGGAGTTCGAGGAAGAGGAGGAGGAGAGCAAAAGCATGGACACGGACCCGGAGACGCTGAGGGACGAGGAGGACGAGAGCTCGCTGGACGGCAAAACGGAAACCAAATCACCGGAGCACGAGGACAACGCGGAGGACGCCATTTGAAAAGCTCATTCTTAATTTTGTCTTAAAGGTCCTATATTACACGAAATGGATTTTTGTGAGCTTTAAGCCATGTTCTAATGCGAACTTCCTCAAAAACATACCCGGAGTTTGTGTTCTGTTTCATTCACACGTTTGAGCAACTTTTTTTTTATTCTGTACATCTCCAAAGCTCAAAATACTCCTGCCTTTTGCCTTTAGTTCAGTAAAGATCAACAATTCCAAGGCTGAAACCATCCAAATGATTCTACTGAAGATGTCAGGAGTTTAAAAACATAGTGGAGCACTTCCTGTATTAAGAAGAACTTAAATATGCATCGTGTGAATGCTTCAAAACACAACTCTGGGGACGTTTTTGACGAAGAAACATTATAACATAGATCAGAAAATAGCGTAATATGGGCCCTTTAAAGCCTCCCATGTTTTTCTTTTTTTTTACATTTTCGTTTTAATTTCGGGTTCAGTTTAAAACGTTTAATGTTTTAAGCTGTACGTGCACGTGCCTGAAGCTCCTCGGAGGGTGGCCGCAACTCCAATCAATTCAGAGAAGAAGAAAGAGGAAGAGGAAGAGGAGGGGCATGGTTTTGTCAAATAAGCTGCGTTATGCAAAATGAACAATGAAATAAAGAAATACAAAAAATGTACAGTACTAAGGCCTACAAATACGTGTGGTGCTAACCTCCTCCAGAGCCCCCCAGTGTTCCATAGTATTTATAGCACAACTAGTGACTTGTACAAATTGCACTCCGCTTATAATCATGAACAAAAATAATAAAAAGTATTGCCTATGTATATATTTATACAGTGTTGGAAAAAAAGCAGTTCTCCGCACCACATGTTCCCCCCCTTTGTTATTCCGGTGTCGTCTTTTTAGTTTCCAGCCAAAAAGAAAAACAAAAAAATACTGCAGCAGCCACACTGTTTAGGCCTCCAAAACGGATCTCCAAATGGACTATGTGAAGGAAGTGCGATGAAGTGATGAAATGAAGTGAAGGAAAGGGAAGGATGGGGGAAGTGAAGGACTATAGCCTTTTAAGGTGTTTGACGAAGCCTTATATGCAAATCTTTTTAACCTGTGTGCCACCGTGGTAATGTTGTTGGACGATTTCTTGTTCACCAGCGCAGTGTTCTGAAATGGTCACGTTGTTGTCAGTATTCTGATAGGCAGCAGTCCTTTAGTTTACATTCTGTTGTGCAATGTTTTTACTCACTTAAACTTTCTTTGTCAGTATTACGCCAAACCTTTTTTTTTTTCTTTTTTGTTTCTTATTTTGAAAACAACAAATTGCATTCATTTTGTTTGTAGGTTCAAACGTTATTTATGTGGCCCATTTTATATTTCCTAATTTTATTTATTTCATACTGTTGTGTACAGTACTATAGTTCTTCAATATATAGATATATTTTAGTAAAAAGGAACATGGTGTCGATCATAGGGGCAAATTTAAAGAGAGCATTTATTGTGTTTTGAAACATTGTGAAATGCGAAGTTTAATCTTATTTTATTTTATTTTTCCTTTATTTTCCAATTCCAAATTTGGGAACTTTTATACAATTGTGAAAACACTGTATTTTCGACTGAAAAATTCCACTTTCTTCATCTTTGTTTTTTTAAGCTAAAAAATGAAGAGGGACTGTTAAATACTATGTATGATATCATGAAGAAGAATCTTTCCTGAAATGTCTTTGTAAAAGTATTATTGAATTCTTAATTTGTAATTTCTTGAAAATGACCCTGCTCGAATAAAGGTAGCCAAATTACAGAGTATCAACCTGCCATGGCTCTTTATTTACACTATCACTACACATCTGAGGTACTGTAGTACAATCAGAGGTGGGCAGTATACTCACATTTAGTATTAGTATTAGTATTAGTAATGATTCAAAATTCAAAAATGATTCAAAATAAACTTGTAATTTCCACACAGTTTTTCATCACTTTTTTACTTTATAGTTTAGGACCATGTAAAAAATCATTAATCCCACAAAAGAAAAGATCTGTACCACATTTATCTACTGTTACTCTTACTACACCAAATAAATCTACCATTAAACATAACACAAAAACATGTGGCTCTTAACAATTCAATTCATAATTTGAAAATCAAAATTTGTCCCATGCATCATCTTTAGTCTGTTTGCACACTAAACCATGTGTCATATCCACATATTTGTTCTATTCTCAAGTCCTTTTACACAAAGTACACTTGAGTAATTCTTTTGAAGTTCAATATTTGACTCCACCTCTGATTGTACTGCACATGAATAATATAAATACAAAAGCAGCAAACAGAACAAACCACCACAATTTATGAATCATGATGTAGTCATATTTAGTGAATAGATTCAAGCATGACAGAGAGTGTAAGATAATATTCATAAGTAGTAGTGGTGCAGGTGTAGGCCTACAGAAAATACTGACAGTACTACACTTGTACACAGCAGATAAAGTACTAATCAGTAATATTATAGATTATTAATAAAATACATAATTCTTAAAACATATATATTATTTATTCATGATAACAAATGAATGTAGAAGACTTGTTACACTGCAGTACAGACTGAAGGCCTGACGCAGGAGGCCCGGGTTTTTACCTTAGCTCTAAATACTACAAAAAGTACATTACATTTTTATACATTATTTATACATTTGGAAATATTTGGTTCAGTCAAAGACAATGAATGACAAAACATTTTCTAAACTCGGTCAGTTCTGATGGAGAAGTGTGACAATAACGCTTGATTTTTTTAATGCTCCAAGATAATTATTTTTTCTTGTATCACATTTTATTTTAAATATCAATATACAAAGTCACAATAAATCATAGTACAGTGCAAGGTGAGGTGCAATATTTGACATTTATGCTGGAATCTGCTTGAAAATACGACAATATGAGTATTGCTTTGCCTGGAATGTTCCACAGTATGGCATTAATCTGGTCTATCTCCAGTCCAAAGAGCAGAAAATGCCACCAGGTCGAGTTACAGGTCAGATCTGTGGAGATGCATAAAGTTTTCAATACATTTTTGAGCAATAAAAACACAACAGTGAAATGAATGCGACTTACAGTGGAGGTGTTTAATGCCATACTGTGGGACCTTCCAGGCAAGGCAATAACATCATGACAATGTTACAGTATTTCACACATGCTTTACAATGTGGTTTTAAACTACAAATAGCAAATAAAAGCAACTTAAAGGGCTCATATTACACTATTTTCTGATCATGTTGTTTCCTTATCAAAAACATTCATTTCATTCAGACATGTTTAACACACAAACCTGCACATTTAAGTTGAATTCTTCTGTAAGTTCTTCTATTTTTGATCCTTTCAGTCCTGGAATTGACCATTTCTACTGAACAAAAGGTAAAACCAATTAATAGTTTACTTGATTAACAGATTAATTATATAATATTGTTTACTTTTTGTATGATGCACATTGCAAAAACCAAACAGCACATCTTTTTAAGAAAGGGTCAAATGGGATAAGAAGTGGTGTATATGTTTTATGAATTCTTTCCAAAAACACACAGAGTCTGGGCAGGTCCAAAATAAATGAGAGGTGGTTTCATTTTTCAGTTAGTGTCCATTATCCTTCTAAGATGATTCTTTAGCGACATGTCAAACTTAGGCCCGAGGGCCAAATTTGGCCCGCAATACAATTATATTTGGCTCGCGAGATCATATCAAATATGTATTAGAGCTGCCCACTGGCTACAGATAGACTATAGAGACAATATGTATTTAAAATGTTGTTATTATTTTATATTCTGCTTGTTCCAGATTCAATGTTTAAGCAAAACTATTATTAAACATTTATTTTAATATGAAAAGGTTTAAAATTACATATCTCGAAAGAAGAGAAAACATGCAGATGTTGTTGGAAATTTTTCAAAAAATGTTTAGTTTGGCCCATGACGTAGTCCCAGTTTTTAATTTTGGCCTCTGTGAATTTGAGTTTGACACAGTGATGTAGAAGTTTGTAGCAGTTTTCCCTTTGCTTGTTGGTGATGAGATATGTGTGAGGTAATGTCCATACATTTTTCCATGGAATATTGTCAATAGAGTCGGGCTGCTGTTTGGGAGGTGCACTTGTGGTGATAGTTGATCTTTCTCAAAGTTTGGTGCAGCGTCTTCACTCACGCCTGCTCAAGACACCATCTTCAGGTACTGGCCCTGTCCTGCCGCTTCACCAGTTTAGGCTCCCGGCTCCACTAATGACATCACTCTGTTGAAGCCAATGAAATAGCGGCAGGAGTAACTGCTGAATACATCTCAGAACATCTAATAAACAAAATGTGAACTAAAACATGTTAAATTAATACTATTGAGTTTGGAAAAAAATCAGAAAAAAATAAAATAAAAAATTGTTGATAAAAATGTTTTAAATAAAATGGCAAATATACATGCATCCCAAATTTTGGACTTCCGGTCATCGCGCAATGCATACTGGCGGTGTCGGCGGCAAGGTGGGGCATTTGAGGGCTTTAGCTTTATGCTATTTTAAATTATTTTGATTGACGCATTTCACTTCAGGTTGAGGGCACAAACTTTAGCGCCCAGACCAATGACATCACAGTCTCTGTTTATTTAGTGTTGTGTGATTGGACAACTGTCCTGTCACTCACGTCACGTCACGTCAACCTGCTGCGTCAACTCGTAGCAGCTTCACGATTAGCGGCAGCTGCTACTTTAGCCTAAAGCTCCACACAGGAAATGGCGAAGACAGAGTCAAAGACCCGACCTGACAGACCCGCCGCCGGGACCCGGGGCTGTCACTACCGGGACTGGGGCAGTTGGACACCGGGCCGGAGCTCTCGCTGCCGCCGCCGGGACCAGGCAGAGGATAAAGTCTCTCCTCCTTTGCCCGCTCGTTTCTGGGAGCAGAGGCATAAATCCACCTGGTGTCTTCGTGCTAATATGGACTGGTGGAACTTTCAGATTTAAGGAGCAAGTGGGATTAAGTTTTAGTTTTACAACCAGCTCGTGCACTCGGCTCCCGGACCTCGCGTCACGGACCAGACTGGACCAGGATTTGGACCAGTTTCATCTCTTCATATTGGACAATAGACTTTTGGACACAGAACCAGTGGGACAGTGGACAGAGGAAACACTCTGCTTCAGTCTCTGGAGAAGGTAAGAGGCTGGTTTTCATTAGTTTGCGGCAAATCTGAAGATGGAGATAAATAGTGTTCTAGTTAAATAGTGTTCTAGTTAAACAGTGTTCTAGTTAAATAGTGTTCTAGTTAAATAGTGTTCTAGTTAAATAGTGTTCTAGTTAAATAGTGTTCTAGTTAAACAGTGTTCTAGTTAAATAGTGTTCTAGTTAAACTAGTTAAATAGTGTTCTAGTTAAATAGTGTTCTAGTTAAACAGTGTTCTAGTTAAATAGTGTTAGTGTGTTCTAGTTAAACGTGGTTGTTCTGTTCTGTTGTGCTGTAGGAGCGGCGCTGATGTCGTGTGTTCATGTTGTGTTCATGTTGTGTTCATGTTGTGTTCATGTTGTGTTCATGTTGTGTTCATGTTGTGACCAGAGTCTCTTGTCTTATTGTAGTTTTATTGACGTTGTTGGGTCTGGGTGTTACGTTGTGTTGTTGTGTGAAGTTTGTGCTTGGCTGTTCATTGTGTCTGATATAGTTCAGCCACTAGTAACCAAAATATTCATAATATATATTTATAATTTTGGCCTTTGTGCCCCTACCAAAAATTATACCACCGTTTTTTTATTTTTTTTTTATATATCTCACATCAGGAGAAGCGTGTGGACGACGTGTCCTCACGTACCACGCCCACTACAGACCTGGTGCTGTCCGACGTGTGGCAATTTCTTGCCCGATTACTTCTTTCAGTGATGTTGTTCAGAGGTGTTTTTGACGAGAGGCTGGTGTTTAATGTTTACAACCAGTGGCAGGCTTTATTGTTTTTTAATAAACCTCAACCTTTTATTATTGTCTTGAGTGCGTATCGTCTACCACAACCTCAACAACTATTGCAGCTAATAATAATAATAATATTCATAATAATGATAATAATAACAACAACACATAATTAGCCTTATACTGTTAAAGAAAAACGTGTTTGATAGTTGATTTCTGCTTTGTATGACTCCACCGCGTTAAAATATTTCTCAAATGGCAGTGCCCCCCCTGCTGGTGACCCACGCCCCTCCAGTAGATGTGCTCTGACGCCGACTCTGCATACTGGGAAGGGTCCTCCGAAAAAGTGAGCATCAAACGACCATGTTTGATTTCCCAGTTGTCAAAGCTGATGTTTTCACGTCTTTTGAACCATATCACTTTTGTTTCTGGTTCTGATATTGTCATATTTTAGTTATGGGATTCAGACATCGCAATTATGTGGTTGTTGGATGTCCTAACTGCAGAAAACGGCTCGAGAAATGGGCTTCGGAAGCTTGCGAATTCCATAACTGCAAAAGGGAATCACTGCAACCTGACTGCAACCCTCCGTTCAAACTGTTTCCCTTCACAACGGAATTGAAAAATAGTGAAAGGCGAAGGCGATGAGCAGTACTGATACACATAATGACCAAAAATTCTGCCTTAGTAATCATCCCGAGTTTGCAGCGAACATTTTGTATGTGGAGCGCCATCAATTCGGGATGCAAGACTATTTTGTCTTCCCCAAATATTAGTTGTGACATATGTCCCACCGTCCCTATGCAAACCTACACCCTTTCTGTTATTTTGAAACTACCACTGCATGACATCACAAGCTGGAACAGAGTATTTTGAGCTTTGAAGATGTAGACAGA